GTCAGGAACAGCATAGGGGGCAAACAGGAGAGTCTATGTTTGGAGTAGGAGATCAGCAGAAATCTCTGTCTTCTCCTCCATAAATAGAAATGCTGTTCTGTAGGAAGAACCTGCATGGGTTAGATATATGCCCGTATGTATGATTGTGCATGTTAAACCCCTCGCACTTTTTTTTAAAAAGAAAAGCAGCGACTGAGATCAAACGACATGTTGTGGAAAGGGGCCTAATTCTTTCTACGTCTTCCATTTCCCTGCTCCATACAGCTGTATTGTACAGCACTGTTTCTTTTGCCCTGACCTGGATAGCCCAGGATAGCCCAATCTTGTCAGAATCTGGAAGCTAAGCAGGGTCAGCCTTGGTCAGTATTTGGATAGAAGACCACTAAGAAATATCAGGGATGATGCACAGAGACAGGCAATGGCAAACCACCTCTGATTGTCTCTTCCCTTGAAAACCCCATGGGATCACCATAAATTGGCTGCAACTTGATGGCAAAAACCCCCAGTTTATTTTGCGGAATTCTGCCAAAAGAAGAACTGCCTTGTAGGACAGGGATTATTTAGAAAGGACAGCGGAAGCATAGGCAGAGGTAAGTAGAACTGGGAAACTGGAGGCACTAGGATCAAGAGAAAGGAAAAGGCCAACACCCTACTTCAAATGGGAAAGTTGGAGGATGGACTGGTCACTACGGTTATTTGCAAACTGCTGCTCTTAGAGTGCAATGTTAAGAAAAGTTACTCCAGTCTAAGCCCATTGATTTCAGTGGGCTCAGACTGGAGTAAGTCTGCTTAGGATTGCACTGCAAGCCCCTTCTCATCCATGTGTACTGCCTGCATCTCAACTGATGAAGATGAAAGCAACCTTTGGGGCATTCCTTGGCTGTAGCAACTTTCCTGCAGGGAATCCTGTAACACCGGTAACATCAGAATCACATCTCACCTGCAAGAGGGGGCCCAATGAGAATGGTGATACTCTCTAAGATGGTAAAAAGGCCCAAGGCACTGGAGAACCTGTCCATCTCTACCACATCCATCAGCACCTGGAAAATAAGTGCACCAAGAACACTCATGGAGATGCTGTAGACCACACAGTAGAGGATGAAAGCACTGTACTCAGCTGAGATAGCACAGATGAGGTTGCTCAGGCCATTGAGCGCCACAGCACCACTGAAGAGGTAGATCCGCCGGCCAGTGAAGATCTTGAGGCCTGAGAGCAGGCCTGCCATGGGGCGCATGAAGATGTTAATGAATCCAATGATGGAGATGAGAAGGGCTGCCTTGCGCTCCTCCACCCCATTCAAGACGGCGTAGGGCACCAGATAGATCATTGGCAGCACAAAACCCATCACCATCCAGGCCACTCCAATGGTGTAGATGCGGTAACCTTTGTTTTTGCAGAAGACATCAAAAGCCAGGTACTTCTGCAGTGTCTGGACGCAAGTATCACACCTTGACCGATGCAGGTGCACCTCATGAGTCAAGCCATTGGATAAATGTATGTCTTCGGCTAAATGTCCAGGACCAGACTTAGATGATGGGGCAGGCGGTTTGACTGGTACTGGTCTCATCATAGCCCCACAAACGCAGCAGTGCAACATCACTCCCCCAAACACGAAGAAAGTATTTCTCCAGCCCATCTCATCAAGCAAATACTGGGAGAGCAGTGGCCACAGCGTGAAGCCAATGGAGACACCAGTGGAGGCCAGAGCATTAGCCAGAGCTCGACGGCGTACAAAATAATAGCCAAGCACAGTGACTCCTGCCTGGAAACTAAAACATGCCCCTAGTCCTTTAAGGAGACAAAAAGAGAGACTTGAAAGAATATGAACTTGCAATGCAGAAGATCATTTAGAAACTAAGATGTGTTCCTAACTTAGCACTGGTATCCTATCATCCCACTTTACCCATTCAGAATGACCTTACTGTTACCTGGATATGCTACAATATTTGCAAAAAGTACAAAGACAGTAAATCCAAAAGTTGATATTGTATCCAAATAAGTTCTGTATCTTCAACTGACTGTGGAGTTCAGTTGTTAATTCCATGCTCATTTTAGTTGCTGTTGGTCTAAAGGGTTAATGTCATTCACCTTGATCTAGGATTGCGAATGTTATATTTCATGTTACCACCTTTTCCCAAGTTAAATCTGTTAACAGCAAAACAAAAAGGAGTACTGTGGTAACTCAAAGACTAAAAAGTTAATCATGGCACAAGCTTCCATGGACCAGCAGTTGCATAAAATGCTAACCTCAGCTGGCAGACACAGAGATAGAGAGGCATAGGCAAAATAATTATACCGTGAGACCAAGAAGCAATGGAATGCAAGAGGTAAAGTCTTTGGCTTTGTAATGAAAAGCTCAAATGTATACGAAATAAACATAGTGAGCTTCCTGATCACTGCTATCCTTTTGGATCCTGCCTGCTTATACTGATACAATAAAAATATGCAATTGAGGGGGCTTGCATGGTTTGATGAGGCTGCGGGCTATGGAGGGCCACCCAGGACAGACAGGCCACAGTGGAGAACTCAGACAAAACATGATCCACTGGAGAAGGAAATGGTAACCCACTCCAGTATAAAGAAAACCCCGTGGACAGTAACAAAAGGCTAAAAGATATGATGCCGGAAGATGAGCCCCTCAGGTCAGAAGGTGTTCAATATGCTACTGGGGAAGAGCAGAGGGCAAGTACAAGTAACCCCAGAAAGAGTGAAGCGGCTGGGCCAAAGCTGAAAGGACGCTCAGCTGTGGATGTGTTTGATGGTGAAAGGAAAGTCCGATGCTGCAAGGAACAATACTGCATAGGAACCTGGAATGTAAGATCTATGAATCAAGGTAAGTTGGATGTGGTCAAAAATGAGATGGCAAGACTGAACATCGACATCTTGGGAATCAGTGAACTAAAGTGGATGGGAATGGGTGAATTTAACTTAGAAGACCATTATATCTACTACTATGACCAAGAATCCCGTAGAAAAAATGGTGTGGCCTTTATAGTCAACAAGAGAGTGAGAAAGGCAGTAATGGGATACAATCTCAAAAGTGACAGAATCGAAGGCAAACCATTGAACATCACAGTAATTCAAGTCTATGCCCCAACTACTGATGGAGAAGAGGCTGAAATGCACTGGTTCTATGAAGACCTACAACACCTCCTAGAACTAACACCAAAAAAAGATGTCCTTATCATTATAGGGAACTGGAATGCTAAAGTAGGAAGTCAAAAGGTAACTGGAGTAATGGACAAGTTTGGCTTTGGAGACCAAAATGAAGCCAGACAAAGGCTAACAGAGATTTGTCAAGAGAACATGCTGGTCCTAGCGAACACCATCTTCCAACAACCTAAGAGGCAACTCTACACATGGACATCACCAGATGGACAACACTGAAATCAGATTGATGATATCATTTGCAGTCCAGGATGGAGAAGCTCTATAAAGTCAGTAAAAACAAGACCTGGAGCTGACTGTGGCTCAGATCATGAGGTACTCATGGCAAAATTCAGGCGTAAACTGAATAAAGTTGGGGAAACCACTAGGCCATTCAGGTTTGACCTAGATCATATCCGTTATGAATATATAGAGGAGGTGAAGAATAGGTTTAAGGGACTAGATTTGATAGACAGGGTGCCTGAAGAGCTATGGACGGAGGTTCATGACACTGTACAGGAGGCAGCAATCAGCACTATCCCAAAGAAAATGAAATGCAATGTCTGATGAGGCTTTACAAATAGCAGAGAAAAGAAGGAAAGTGAAAGGCAAAGGTGAAAAGGAAAGATTTACCCAACTGAATGCAGATTTCACGAGAACAGCAAGGAGAGATAAGGAGGCCTTCCTGAATGAACAATACAAAGTAATAGAGGAAAACAATAGAATAGGAAGGACTAGAGATCTCTTCAAGAAAACTGGAGAAATCAAGGGAACGTTCCGTGCAAAGCTGGCCATGATAAAGGACAAAAATGGTAGGGACCTAACAGAAGCAGATTAGGAAGAGTTGGCAAGAATACACAGAAGACCTATACAAGAAGGATCTACATTTCCTTGACAACCAAGATGGTATGATCACTGACCTTGAGCCAGACATCCTGGAGTGCGAAGTCAAATGGGCCTTAGAAAGCATCACTAGCAACAAAGCTAGTGGAGGTGATGGTATCCCAGCTGAGCTATTCAAAGTCTTAAAAGATGATGCTGTTAAAGTGCCGCACTCAATATGCCAGCAAATTTGGCCACAGGATTGGAAAAGGTCAGTTTACGTTTCAATCCCAAAGAAGGGCAATGCCAAGGAATGTTCAAAGTATCGCACAATTGCACTCATTTCATACACTAGGCTTCAGCAGTACGTGGCTAGAAAACTGCCAAAAGTACAAGCTGGGTTTCAAAGAGATAGAGGAATCAGAGATCAAATTGGCAACATTCGCTGGATTATGGAGAAAGCAAGAGAGTACCAGAAAAACATCTACTTCTGCTTCATGACTATGCTAAAGCCTTTGATTGTGTGGATCACAACAAACTGTGGCAAGTCCTTAAAGAGACCACCTCACATGTCTCCTGAGAAACCTGTATAAGGGTCAAGAAGCAACAGTTAGAACTGGATCTGGAACAAATGATTGGTTTAGCATAGGAAAAGGAGTACGACAAGGATGTATATTGTAGCTCTGCTTACTTAATTGATATGCAGAGTACATCATGTGAAATGCCAGCCTGGATGAATCACAAACCGGAATTAAGATTGCTGGGAAAAACATCAACAACCTCAGATATGCAGACGATACCACTCTAATGGCAGAAAGTGAAGAGGACCTCAAGAGCCTCTTGCTAAGAATGAAAGAGGAGAGCGCAAAAGCTGGCTTGAAACTCAACATCAAAAATACTAAGATCATGGCATCCGGACCCATTGTTCCTTGGCAAATAGAAGGGGAAGTCATGGAAGCAGTGGCAGACTTCATGTTCCTGATGGGCTGTGACCAAAGGCACAATCCCACTCCTCTCAACATGCCTAGAGTGTACATTCTTTAGGGTTGCCAGCCTCCAGGTGGAGCCTGGAGTTTTCCCACCTTTACAACTGATCTTCAGCTGACAGAGATCAGCTCCCCTGGAAAAAATGGCTGCTTTGAAGGGTGGGCTCTATGGCATTGTACCACGCTGAGGCCCCTCCCCTCCCCAAACCCTGGCCTCTCCCGGATCTACCCCCAAAGCCTCCAGGTATTTTCCAACCCAGACCTGGCAACCCTAACACTCTTTGAACAACTGAACAGGTTATATGTGGAATGCAAAACCACGATCAAGATTTGCATACCTGTCTCTGCATTTTGGTACACTCACCAGTGATAAATCCAGCTGTTACATAAAGCTGGCCAATGGATTGGGAGAATGCGCTGGCAACCATGCCCACCCCGCTGAGGAGGCCTCCAAGCATGACAGTGGTCCTGCAGCCAAATCGCTCCACCAGAATGCTGCAGAGGGGCCCTGAAAAGCAATTATTCCAAGTGTCAGAGCTGAGAACACTCAGTGCGATACCATGAGCAAATTGTTGAGTTTGGACACTGCTGGAGATGTAAGGAGTCAATATATTGGTAATCTACTCTGGGCAGGAGCTAGAACAGTGATGGCGAACCTTTTAGAGACCGAGTGCCCAAACTGCAACCCCAAACCCACTTATTTATCGCAAAGTGCCAACACAGCAATTTAACCTGAATACTGAGGTTTTACTTTAGAAAAAACAACTCATATATTAACTTAAGATGATCCAAACAAAGTAAGGAAAGCAATCCCAAATGCTTTCATGTACTTAAAATTATTTGGCAGAGAATTCGACACTTTAATGATGGTCTGGGCCTGGCTGGGGCGATGGCACATGTGCCCACAGAGAGGGCTCTGAGTGCCACTTCTGGCACCCGTGCCATAGGTTCGCCACCACTGAGCTAGAAGGTACTCTGAATAAACAAAATTTGTTTGGCAAGAGTGCAAAACCAAGGTAACTTGCTATTTAGATACAGGAGTATTCAACTGTGGTCTACAGTTGTCCTAAAGTACTAGAGAAATTATGAGAGACACTTAGGGTTGTCAGCCTCCAGGTGGAGCCTGGAGATCTCTCAGAATTACAAGTGATCTCCAGACGACAGAGATCTGGAGAAAACAGCTGCTTTGGAGGGTGGACTCTGTGGCTTTGTACCCCCACTGAGGCCCCTCCCCTTCCCAACACCTCTCTCCCCAGACTTCACCCCGCAAAATCTCCAGGACTTTCCAACCAAGAGTTGGAAATCCTAGTAACACCGACAGCCTGGCTTACAATCTTGGGGCATATCATAAGCATAGGGTTGCCAAGTGATTCTTCGCCGGGAGCAGGGGGCTCCCGGCCGGTGTCGGGTGTGTGTGCGCGTGCTACACCCGGAAGTGACATAGGCATGCTGGGGGCGGGGCCACGGCCATACAAGGGAAAACCATAGGGTTCCCCCCGGGGCCCGATTCCGCGGTGGCGGAAATCGGGCCTCCGAAGCGGGGGTTTACCCGCCCCCACTTGGCAGCCCTTTTACAGCATCATAAAATACCATGACTTGTTTTATAAATAGTTAACAGGTGCCCCTCTGGTAAAAAGAATTCCTTTGCAGAGTAATAACTACATTCATTTTTTCCTCAAGGCATGTTTTTCTCTCTCTTTACTAGCAGCCACAGGCAAGCAGGCAATGAGTACAGGAAGCAGAATGTGTCCTTTCTGGTGATCTTCTACCTGGCTTAAATTACTTTTTTATGTTACCTTCTTTTGAGCTCTTCATTCCTGTGACTCTGGTGCCTTTTTTGTGTAAGGAAATAAATTCCCAAAAACATATCCGCTCCGACACCCTTTGGGACAATCCCCATCATTGCGGAAGGCTATTTTCTGAAGCCAAGAGCCTTCACTTTACAGGTGGATATAACAACATCTTTCTCACATGGACTCAAGGAAGATTACACATAGTGAGTCAGTACAATCGACAACATGGGATATTAAATAACTAATGCATTTCATATCAGTTAATTAAACGTAGAATCCTGGATATAGAAATGCAAAAACTAGTTAGCAATTGCAAACAAAGCCCGCTCCCCCTTGAATTTCGGAATCCTTCCAACTATTGGCCATCTGCCTTCGTACTTATCAGCCCTTCACGCTCCACAATTGCGCCGAGCATTTGCACTTGCTAGATGCAATACTCTTCCATCTGCTGTTACCTATGGTAGATATAAAGGGATTCCATACTCAGCTAGACACTGTGCGTGTAATCAAAACCAAGTTGACTCCGTTTTCCATATTCTCCTACACTGTCCCCAATATGATGAGATACGTCTTACCTTTTTAGATCCAATCTTATTTAATATGATAGGCTGTCCAGGCTTTTAAGGTACGCTACCTCTTGAATGATTTGTCACCCGAAATAACTGAAAATGTAGCCTCTTTTTTAAGTTTGGTAATCAGTTCTGCACAATGTATAGATGCATATGATTGATTCATTTCTCCTTGTTACCTATTTATCCACTTTTGTTTCTTCCTGTAACCTAACACATGCCAATAAAGGTCTGTGTATGTATGTGTATGTAACTAATGCATTAGGCTATTAGAAGACTGGAACCACCAGAAAAAACATGACACATTAAGAAGTACAGAAATTACATAATAGGATCCTACTTATAATAATAGTACAGCAATAAAGACCACAAGTCCCAATCATTTATCCGAGTAAGTTTGTGAAACCATTTTGTACTGTGCAGTTCCCTCGCTCTAAAGCCAGTCGAATCCGACTCTAGGGTTGCGGTGCTCATCTCCGTTTCAAAGCCGAAGAGCCAGCGCTGTCCGAAGACGTTTCCGTGGTCATGTGGCCGGCATGACTAAACACCAAGGCGAACGGAACGCTGTTACCTTCCCACCGAAGTGGTCCCTATTTATCTACTTGCAATTTCTTGCTTTCGAACTGCTAGGTTGGCAGGAGCTGGAACTAGAGATGGGAGCTCACTCCATCATGCGGCACCTGGGTCTCGAACTGCTGAACTACTGACCTTCCACAGCCTGCAGTTCAGCATCTTAACCACTTGAGCCACCGCAGCAGTCTTATTACCAGTGCAGAAAAGCCCTTCTGAACAGTTCAGTTTTGCATAGCTTGCGGAAGCCCAGGAAAGTGGGGGCTTTCCTGACATCCTCAGGCAGGCCATTCCACAAGGTGGGGGCCACAAAGGAGAAAGCACACATAAGGGGAGTTGTTGCTGGTTTTGCCCATTTGCAGGTTGGCACGTGCAAAAGCCCCTGCTGACATGAGCGGAGTTGTCGTGGCAGAGCACAGAGAAATAGGAGGTCCCGTAAATAAGAGGGGCCAAGACCATGGCGGGCTTTATATATGATATGTGCCTGTAACAAACGGGCAACCAATGGAGAGCTTGCAGAATGGGAGTAATATGCATGCTCTGTCTAGCTCCCACTAATAGTTGAGCTGCAGCACTCTGGACCAGGTGGAGTTTCCGAACGGATTTTTATGTGAAACCAATGTACAGTGCATTACAATAGTCTAGTCTTCATGTGGTATGGATCCAGGTGGCCAAGTCAGGTGTATCAAGGTATGGGGCCATTTTACAGGCTAGGCTGAGTAGGAAGAAAGCCTTTTTTGTGGCTGCTCAGTTTCATCCAAGAAGATGGCATATTTGTACGCATGAGGTTCCATGTCTTATCTCAGTTTCAAGGCTTCAGATTTCTGCAGAACACACAAACTCACAGCTTGGTTGTACACGGTATCCTAAGGCAGTGGTTTGCAGCCTATGGTTCTAGAGTGAAATGATGATGATGATTTATTAAAGTTGTACCCTGCCCTCCCCGCCATGGCGGGCTCAGGGCGGCTAACAAACATACGTGTGAAAAATACATTAAAACTCCATAATATGGTAAAAACAAAATTAAGATTACATAAAACCATATCTACTCATTACATCCTATAATAAGAGATGGCGACGTTCTATCAACATCTGAATGGCCATCTACATCCTAGTCCAGGTTCCTGCCAGGCTGTTAGCTGTCCAATTGGTGGTGATGTTGATGTTAGGGCCAGGGCCATGGTGTTAAGGCGGCACCCTACTTAAAAGCCTGGCGGAAGAGCTCCATTTTACAGGCCCTGCAGAACTGCAAAAGGTCCTGCAGGGCCCTGATGTCATTTGGGAACTCATTCCACCAGTGAGGGGCCGCCACAGGAAAGGCCCTGGCCCTCGTTATGGCTAACCTGACCTCTTTTGGGACCGGGAGAACCAGGCGATTTTGGGATCCCGATCTTAGTGCTCTCTGAGGCACATGGGGAGAAAGGCGGTCCCTTAGATAGATAGGTCTCCGACCATATAGGGCTTTAAAGGTAAGAACCAGCACCTTGAACCAAATCCGGTATGCTATAGGCAGCCAGTGCAGTGCTTTTAGGGCAGGCTGGATGTGTTCCTGTAAAGGAAGAGACAACAACAGCCTTGCCACTGCATTCTGCACCAGCTGCAGTTTCTGGATTTGGGACAGGGGCAGCCCCATGTAGAGAGCACTGCAGTAATGCAGTCCTGAGGTGACCATTGCATGGATCACTGTTGCCAGGTCATTGTGTTCAAGGAAGGGAACCAACTGCCTAATCAGCCATAGGTGGTAAAAGGCTGACTTCACAGTGGCTGCTACCTGGGCCTCCATTGTTAAGGAGGTGTCCAGGAGCACTCCCAAACTCCTAACCTCCGGTGCTGGCACTAATGGTACCCCATCGAAGGTCAGGAGAGGGATCCCTAACCTTGGACTGCTCCGACTCAGGCACAGGACCTCCATCTTCATCTGATTCAATTTCAGTTGACTCAGTCTAAGCCAACCAGCCACAGCTTTCAACGCCAGGTCCAGATCTCCCAGATTAGAGTCTGACTGGCCATCCAACAACAGATAGAGCTGGGTGTCATCACCAGTCCATACCTCCGGGCAATCTGGGCAAGGGGCCGTATATAGATGTTAAATAGCATTGGGGGGAGCACCGCTCCTTGGGGCACTCCGCAGCTTAGCGGGTGCCTTCCGGATAGCTGTTCCCCAACTGCCACCCTCTGTCCCCGACCCTGAAGAAATGAGGAGAGCCACTGCAAGGCAAACCCCTTAATCGCGGTATCGGTGAGGCGGTGGATCAGTAGTTGATGGTTGACCATGTTGCACGCCGCTGACAGATCTAACAACATCAATACTGCCATGCAGCCTCGATCCAGACGCCTCTGGAGATCATCTGTGAGGGCAACCAGAACCGTCTCTGTCCCGTGGCCTGGTCAGAAGCCGGACTGGAAGGGGTCTAATATGGAGGCATCATCCAAAAAACCCTGCAGCTGATTTGCCACCGCCTTCTTGATTAATTTGCCCAAATAGGGCAAATTGGATACCGTCCGATAGTTGGCTAATTCAGCCGGATCCAATGATGGCTTTTTTAGAAGGGGGCGGACCACTGCCTCCTTTAGGG